AACCCATTTCTAAAAATCTCAGTAATGCACACTGAACCAGGAATTGAATGACCTGGAACATCCCTGACTCTGCCACTGGCTAAGTGGGTGATCTTTGACAAGTCTTTTTCCATCCCTGGGCCAACTAACTCATCTGTAAAATGAAGACTAAAATAGATTATCCCGAAGCTTATATATTGATAGAGCCAAGACTGGAACCCAGCTATTCTGATTCTCAATCCATTGACCTTTCCTCTCTTCTCTCCTGCCTATCCCTTGTGCTTTTATGGCTACTCAGATAGTTAAACCCTAACTGGGGCATTCAAAATAAAGTATGCTCAAGGAATGAACTACTGACACATGCAACAAAATGGGTAAAACATTATGCTAAATGAACGAAGTAAGACACAGAGTACATACTATATGATATTTCACTTACATGTAGTACTAGATAGGCAAAACTAATCTGTGGCAATGGGTATGAGATTAGTGGTTGTTTCTGGGGGAGAATGACTCAAAGAATATGAGGGAAATTTCTGGGGCGATAGAAATGTTCTGCCCTGCCCAATGCCGCAGGGAGCCCAGTTAGCTTCTCCCAAGCCCTGGTCAGGCCTGGCCTCATCTCAGACTCCTGCCTAGGATGCGGGGCTTGGCCAGGGGTGCTCCTTTCCTCAACCTCTGTTAGAACATTTCCTTGTAAGAATAAAATTGCCTTTGTAAAAAAAAAAAAAAAAGTTGTTTTTTTATTTTTATTTTTTTTTAAAAAAGATGACCAGTAAGGGGATCTTAACCCTTGACTTGGTGTTGTCAGCACCACGCTCTCCCAAGTGAGCTAACTAGCCATCCCTGTATAGGGATCCGAACCCGTGGCCTTGATGTTATCAGCACCACACTCTCCCGAGTGAGCCAAGGGCTGGCCCCAAAAAGTTCTTTATCTTGATAGAAGTGTGGGTGTTATGGGTAGATGTGTTTCCAAAACTGATCAAATATACCCTTAAGATGTGTGTTTTAGGGCCGGCCCGGTGGCACACTGGATA